TATATATATATATATATATATATTATCATATAAATAAAGAGATGGCCTAATAATTTTTTTTGATAAGTATAAGTCTAATTGATTTAAATAATAGACTTTTGTAAAGCATAAACCTAAGCTTTTATTAAATAAGTTAGGCTAGATTTTAAATATGTGAATTTTTGTTTGATCTGACTTATTTTGATCCGTATCTATCAATCATTACAAATTTTGCGTCTAGTTAGACAAAAAACTTATTTAAAATCTTATATGATACTTTTATTGAATAAGGACTTATAATATTATAAGTGCTTAAAATTCAATAATTTGTTGTGTTTAAATATACATATTAATAAGTGCTTATAAAATTGGTAAAAAAAAAATACTTATATAATTTTAGTGTGTTAATTTTGCAACTGGAACGGGCCGTTCCGGATGCAAAATTAACATATCAAAAGTTCAACCAGAACGGCCCGTTCTGATTTCAGAACGGGCCGTTCTGGTTTCAGTTGTTTTCAAAAAAATTTGCGATCCACGTGGCATCCACTTGGCGAACAGTTAACTCCGTTCAAATAATTTGGACGGAAGTCCCACATTGAAACCAATTAATTTATTAGGGACCAAATTGAAACCAATTAATTAGTTTGGACCAAATTGAAACCAAAAATAAAAGTGAAACTAAATTGAAACAAACAATTATTATAAGGGAACAAAATAGGTTTTTAGCCTATATTTAATAGGCTTCATTGCACTTTTATCCATATTTAATTACAATGTCACATTAAAGTTCTAATTAAATAATGTTTTATTCTGTTAAACATTATAATTATGTAATTTTAATTTTCTAAATTTTAATTAAATAATTTTAATTTTTAAATATTACAATTTTTTAATTTAATCACTCAAATATTAGTTATATTAATATTTTTCCAGTATAATTATATATTAATATCTTTCAAATATAATTATATTATATATATAATATGTTAAAATGGTTTAAAGAAATCATTTTTATAATAATAAAAAAATGGTCAATCCTGAATAGCTTTCACCATGGAATTAAAAGTCAAATTGGGCACAACCCACCAAACGCTATTAAATATTATTGTTAATATAAAAAATATGGAATTCTATTTTCTTGATTTTATAGATTCCTGATTTGTTCGGTTCTGGGTTAGGGTCCACCACCTCAAAAACAATGCATGCATGGTGATATTATACGACTGTATATGTAAGTAATTATGAAGGCAACTAATTAATTCAAATGACTCAACTAACATAAGACTGAGATTAATCTAGACTAATTAAATATATATGTTTGAATACTCATCTACACATATTCTCATACACTTAAACGGAAAAATATGAGTATAAATAGATTGATTGAACATATATTTGACTTATTCAAATGATAAAATAAACATGCACTAAGTCGACAATAAGTTAAATATTCCTCGCTCACTCATATGGTCCGATTCATCGACTATGATAGACGCCTTAGCCTAAGTTCGATTTCCAACACAAATGAAAAAAAAAATTGTTAAAAAGAAATATTATTTTAATAATCTTCATGTCTCAAACAAAATTAGTATCATGATGGAAAAAAAATTAAAAATAATAAAAAAAGAAAACCTAGCATGTGGGGAAATGTTTGAAATTAAGCGGATGGAGGGCCGAAAGGAAAAGTCTCCTGAATCATTGGTAATGAGAAAGAATGAGGAGTGAAACAAAACAAGACCATAAACACTATCACCCATTTTTGACTTGGAATAAAGTGAAGAAAGATACAAATAAGAAAAATACTAACATCCCATTCTATTACACTCTCTTTTATAAGTTTAAATTTCGTTAAAAGACTAGATCTTATGTATTATTTAATAACTTTCTCTCTTTTAATTTTTATGATTTTCAATAAATTTTAACTAATAAGAATAAAATGTTATTAGAATTCTTTATAAATAAAAATGCAAAAATGTTAAACTAGTCTTATAAGATATTAATATGGTTAAGAAATTAAAAAAATACTTTTTCATTAAAAAATTGTATTCCACACTTTCTTTAGCATAATTTTATCGTAACTTTTAATGAAATTTTTGTAGATATTGATTTTTTTTATTAGGACACCGATCACTCACCGAGAGATAAATTTACCTTGGGTATTGGGGAAGTTTGTCCTAACTTTTTCATAATCTTTTAATTTGTATTATATTTTAGTATATAGATAATTAAGATAATTTTTTTATTTTTAAAATTTTAGTCGTGGGAGAGAATAATATATATAATTCTTTTCCCTTCTATAGTTTTTATAAAATACTTCGTTCTCTTTTTATATATCATTTATTATGAAGATAATGACACTTTTTAAAACAAATATTTTATTTATATTTTTATAGTATTTATTGTTAAAACAATTATAATTTTCTTTTTAATTTGGAAATATTTAGGTATTTTTTTAAGAGTATCCAGTTTTTGTTGCTCTTATAAAAAATTGTATTTGTAATTAGATGATTTTATTATTTTTTATTATATTGACTTTATTATAATATTTTAAAATTAAAGACTACTTATTATTAATTCTTATAAATATTTATGAATATTTTATAATGATGGAGAACTTAAGCTTTGAGACACACTAGTAATTATTCATTTTTCTACCAATAACATTATTCTTTGTATTCCTGTGTTAAGATACACACTTCAATTATCCTTGTTGTAGCAGGTCTGGTTTTGGGTCTAGGTCTTCTCGTCCTTCTTTGAGTAGTCCGAAGTGAAGGGAGCGTTCAAGTAAGTGTTCGGCGTAATAAATGCGATAGTTGAAAATTGGTTACGTACCTCGTAAGGGGTCTATTTATAGTGTTTTTTGTTGGACTGTGATTAGGGATTGGGCCCCAGGAAATTAGGGGACTAAATCGGTACATTACGTAAATTAACCTCTCCATAATCATCCTGGCGTAAATCTGTGTCTTGGCCGAGCACACCGACATGTTCCGTTTCGTGAGTGGTCAGTGGGCTCGGGTATTCGCTTTAGTCGGTCACGAATTCGAGTATTCGGCGTATTCGGCTCCCATACGGTATACTTTGTATATTGTTTTTGTCTATTTTTCTCTTGTTCTGTGGGGAGTTGTTACGGTACCCTCAAAGATCGAGAGATTTCAATACATTTTTTTATATAAACTCATAAAAGATTTTAAAAAAATAGTTTAATTATAAAATGAATAATCTAACTTATAAAATAAAAAGTAAGATAAAATTATAGAGATTAAAATTATAAGATTTTAATAATATTATAAAATATTAAAAAAATTAATAAATAGTAGAAATAAAAAATTATTAAAATTACAATATAGAAATTCAAAAATTTAAGACAAAAAGACAAAAAATATACTTAAAAAATTATTAAAATTAAAATATAGAAATTCAAAAATTTTAAGTGAAAAAATAAAAATATAATTTTAAGTGAAAAGATAAAAATATACTTAAAAAATTATTAAAATTAAACTATTTAAATATATAATAATATTATTACAAATAAATTAGAATATATAAAATAAAAATAAAATGACTAAATAATTTAAAATTTGAAAGAATAAAATATCATAAATATTATTTAAATAAATTATTAAAAATATAAAATATAAAAAACTGTACCGGTACCCTCTCAAATAA